GTCTGGCAAAATTGAGAAGATTGTGACAAAAAAAGAGACAGAAGAAACATCAAGAAGAAGCCAAGGGAGGCTATTTTTTACTCTTCCATACTTTCTTAAGGCTTGTTTTTGCTGTCCCCTTGACCATGAAACTCAAGTCTCTTAGCAGCTGGACTAGCTGGCTCCTCTCCTCCATCCCATCCCCTGCCTCAATAAATGCCTTTAACACTCCCCCCACTCCTGCATACATCATCACAGCTGTTTCAGTGTGGCTTTTGTAATGGGACTTGAATATGATTCTTCTAACCAAAGTTAAGCTAAATGTTTGGTTGCACCATGAGATCAAAACTAGCAGAGAACCAAAATCTTTGGCGTTTTGATATCAATTGAAATACATGGCCAAAGAGATATTAGTAAATTGTTCATATAGAATCTTATAAGCCATTAAACTAAAATCAGAAACACCAATTATTGGATTAAAAAGTCAGAATGATCTTGAATTGAAATTGAAATTATGTTTTTAATTTGAAAATAATAAAAAATAATATATGTACAAAAAAATTATTTGGATTTTTTGTTGTTGAAATTGACAAATACTAAGATTGTAAAAAATGGATAGACAAATATATAAAAATCATAAGTATAATAAAATTTCATATGTTGCATCCAAAGTTTAATTCAGTTAATTTATATAATTATTTTTAAAATAAGATATTTAATATTTTTAAAATGATATGATGGTTAAAAAATTATATGAAAAGATGATTTTTGATAAAAATGAATAACACAAAAAGATTTAAACTATAATTTAACTTATTTTTTATTTGATTTTTCATATAATTAATTTTAGAATATGGGATATAAGACTTAATATGTTGTTATTGTTTGTTGTATCCTCATATTATAATTTTGTATAAAATTAAATAAAATTTCATTTGTTAGGAACCAGCATAAAGTTAAATTTAGTGCCTAGTTGGTGTCAACTAGTATAACATTCCAATAAAAGGTTAATGGAGCTTTTTATTTTAATTTTTCCTACAAAGCAATGACTTTTGTCACTTGTGATTTTGATAAATCCCACTTATTCTAATCATGGTTAGAGAGACCACTAGCCTTGATTAGTGGAAAAATGCCTTTTGTCTTCCAAGTTATTAGCGATCAAAGACCAAAACCCAAGAAGAAATTTTATATGCACCAATGAAATTCCTAAAATGTGAATCATTTTGAGGATGGTAAAGCCAAAGAAAGTGGAAATTAACAGGTTAAAAGCTACATTTTTAGCTACTAATGTGAAAGAGGATATCATATAAAGTTAGAAAAAAATACGAACTATATATATACTCCATTTGTTCCTTGTTTTTTCTATCAAATTTTCTTACTTTGACTTCTATTATTTTAATTAATTAAATTTTATAAAACATTTAGAAACCATTTCATTCAAAATTTTTAAAATATATTTTTTTCATAAATTTATCAATAATAAACATGAAAAATAAAAATTATGATGTGACAATTTTATTAGGAATAGTATAATTAAATTCTATAAATATACGAAATTTTCATATATTCACTTTAACGGCAAATAAGAAAATTAACAAGTGAAAATGGGTCAAACTTTTTTTAAAAACATTTCATTATTAATGTATAAGATAATAATAATAATAATAATAATTTAAGACTTTGAAATAAAAGTCATATTAACCTTTCAATTTTTAATGGAAATAGATGTCGAAAAATAAGGAAAAAAGTTGTTAAATCTTCGGAGAAGCCAAGATTATGAGGCCATTCTCAGTAAATGTCTTCATCATTAGCACTAAGCTTGGGACCAATAAAGCTAGTGGAGAAAAGCATAGGCCACACAACATTCTAGCAATGGAAAATGCATCTTATTGATAATATTAAGGATAAGAACGCTAATTTGTTGCTTGAAAGAAATGTGGAACTTGGCTTTGTCATCCACTTCTTTATCAAGAATAATGGATCCTTTGTTCCTTTCTTGCTTTCCAAATTTTTAAGATAATTTCATGATTTGATTATAGAAAAATTTTTGATCATGACACTTGTGTTCATGGATTTAATATAGTCAAGATTGGTTGATATTTTGAGTATTTAAATTTGTAGATCCATCAATTTGCATTATGTTTAAGAGAAATTATTAAATATTAAAATATTTTTAAAAAATATTAATATTTTCAATATATTTTTATATTCAATAAATTTATTAAATATTAAAATATTTACTAAGAAGAAAATATTAGTAATTTTGATGATTACATAAAAAATAAAATTATTTTTTTACCTTTAATTTTGTTAGTAAATATTTTTTGGGTTTTGGTTTTAGGATAGAAAATAGAAGTTTATATCTTAAAAATGAAAATAATCTATTTTTTTTCAAATTTATTTGTTGTTTGTTTAAAATATAAAATTAGATTGTACATTATCATAAAATATTTCATCATGTATTTGTCATTTATTTTACAATATTTAGTCAAGATAAAATATTTCTTTAAAAACCATGTCTTTTTAGTTATAAAATATTAGTATAAATTTTCAATGAAATATTATAAATTTAATACTATCACTAATTAATAAAAAATAATAAATTTAATTATTTGAATTGCAACTACATATTTTCATAAACCAAGCCAAACTTGAATAACACTTTTAAAGTCTCACTTAAAGCTCAATTTCACTCATCTATTATAAACCTAAATAAGCCTATTTACTATTAAAATTTAAAATATTAAAAATCTTTTATATTCATATTTAACATTTTAAAATATATTTTAAAATACAAATTAAATAAAAATATTTTATTAATAAAATAATAATTTGATCAAGTTAAACCTAGACTTTAAAAATCATGTCCAAAAGTTAATTCAAGTTGAACTTTACTTGTAAATCTGATTGACAACTCAATTTATGGATAAATCTAATTATAACTTAAAAACTTTTTCTTAAAAAAAAAAAATATTAACTAATCTAAAAATTAGCATTACGAAAATAACAATAAAAATATATAAGATTTAACATCCCTACAAAATATATTAAGAAAATAAAATTTATAAAACTTTTATTTCTTTCGTATAATTATTTTATCTTTTCATCTTAAACTTATAATATTATCAATCTATTATTTTATTTTCTAATTCCTTTTGCAATGCTTATACTAACTATTTAGTTTGTAGAAGAATAATTTTGTTACGATCATCAAAATATAAAAATTAATATTTTATTTTTTAAAATTTAACTTCAAAATAATATTCATTTCAAATTTAGAAAACATAAAAGTAATTTATTTATTTCAGAAATAACAATTATTAAGTCAAGTATGAAAGGTTTGAAATCTAACTATATATTCTATAAAAGAAATATTTCAAGTTAGATATTGTTTTATAAAGATTGAAAAAAAAAAAACACAAATCCAATTATTCTAAATAAGTTAGAACATAATTGATAGCAAAAGATAGACCACAAAAGCTCCTTTCAATTATCTAAATTAAACCCTTTTGATTATTCAAGATTTGTTTTTATAACTTTAGATGAAAGGTGATTGAAAGTACAGTCAAGGCTTATACACATGGCTAAATTGAAAGGAATATTGGAAAATGTCAAAAGGATTTTTTTTTTTTTGGTCTAAAAGAAATAAAATTAGAGAATTGAAGAGGACTTCACGTCATGAATAGTCCCTCTCTAACAAAAAAACCAAAAAATTCTTTACTGTTCCACGTCTGAGTAAATTTTGTTCTTGGCTTTCATTACAAATTCCTTTGTAGCCCCGATAAGCCCTTCTGTAACTTGCATTAATTTAATAGAAATTAAAAAAAAAAGAAACCCATATTTTCTATTCTTATTTTAATTTTTTGAGTTTCCAAATCATTTCGATTTTGAAAATAAAATTAAAAAAAATTATTCTGTTCTATAAGTGATAGAAACCTAATTATTTATTTTTTAATCAAATTTGTTGATAGATTTTTGGGATTTATGGGAGGGAGCAAGGTTAAGCCGGCAATTTTGTCACATTTTTAAAAAGAAAATTGGCCCAAAGATGTTAAAATTAAAATTTCATATTGATACGTCATATTATCTGTCATGTGACGTTTTGAGAGTTGATATAAAAAATAATATAGTGTCGTGTAATCTATGTTATTAAAGATTAATCAGGTGAATGATAAAAAAAAATTTTTACTCAAATTTAAGCAATCAAACAAAAATTAATAATTAAATGATAATTGTAAAAATAAAACCATGTATTTTACTTTTTTTTTATTATAATTATGAAGTGAATTGTTACCTTTTTAAATTTCATTTATTTATGTATGCATAACATTTGTACAACATTATTTATAGTTAAAATGATATTAAAACATGTAACTTCAATTTAATTAAAATAAGATATTTAAATTATTTTTTTTAAGCTTGGAAGTGCTGTTTTTCTCTTGTAACGTACCCATTCAATTAGTACCACAATAAAACGGTCAAATTAATAAATAGGAAAAAAATAGTACTATTTACAACAAGTTTAGTCAATTTGTTGGCCGACTTGTCCCCACAGTTATAATCTTATCCATTATTTTCGCCAATTCAATACCCTCATTTTCACCATACAGTGAAACAGTTAAACATTAAACACTTTACCCCCGCTGGCCATTGTCACAGCCTTCAAAATTGACCCCACATTTTTCATCCTAAATTAAACCCACTTTTTTACCCAAAAGGACAGGTTTGTCCACAAAAAAGTTAAACACTTTTGGCCACGATTAGTGGTGCTCCTCCATTCTTTCGCCGACGGTGGTGGCGCCTTGGCCCCACGCGGTTAACGACAAGCGCGGGAGATTAAAAATAAAAATAAGAAAAAAACTACAAAAGGAGAATTTTTTTTACTTATTTTGACCGTTGATCACGGACCAATAGTAATGAAACAATCTCTATCGTCGGATCAGAAACCAACAAACAATAACAACGTTGGTTACTGATTGGCGATTTTTGAAACGGTAAATGCGGTTATATATATAAAAAAAGTTTAAAATGGAAAAAATGGTTTTCCATTGTGGGTTTTGTTTAAAAGGCTAAAAGAAACAGACATCCTCTGAAAGCAAACTCCTGCTGTTGTTCTTGCCTTTGCCTCCTTCCTTTCTCGCTTCTGGGTTCTTTTCTTTGTCTTCTTCTGGGGTTTTGGCCTTTAATTTGAAGTGTTTTTGGTTTTCTTTGAAACGTTAAGGAAATAGATAGATAGAAATTTCCAAACTAGAAGGCAAAGGCGTGAATTTGAAGAAGAATTTGGAGTTATTTTTTTCTTTATTTATGATGATAATGATCGAGGAATGGGGAGTGATTTTCCATTTTAGAAGCTGATGTATGTTGGTTGAACATTCTTGTCAAATAAGGTGATACTACTAACTTTGGAAAATCTTCATTTAATGTTATTATTTGTTATTATTTTGAAGCTAAACTCATCAAATTCCTATTTGGCAGAAAAATTTTCATGTGGGTTGTAGAAAAACGATAACTGAAACGCAGTTTAGAGTAGGCAAAGAATTTTCTCTTCCTGAAAAGAAGAGAGATTTTCTTTCTTTTTTTTTTGGTTATTGGTGTTTGATAATGTCGTCGAATACTTCATCAGAGATGCAAGAACCGAGCATCGACACAGATAAGTTGAGTTACGAAATCTTTTCGATTCTGGAAAGTAAATTTTTGTTTGGGTACGATGATCATCAGAAGCTATGGATTCCCAAACCGATCTCTCCAGCTCCTGAACCGAAAGTTGAGCCGTTGCTTCAGCCGGGTGATGAGAATTCCCTGTCAGCTATCAAGAACCAGAGGGGTAAAATCTGTATTTTGAGTATTGATAGCGGTGGTATGAGAGGGATTCTCTGTGGGAAAGCTTTGGCTTATCTTGAACACGCCTTGAAATCCAAGTCAGGTAATCCAAATGCTCGAATTGCTGATTTTTTTGACGTCGCCGCCGGTTCCGGCGTTGGTGGTATCTTCACCGCCATGCTTTTCGCCACCAAAGATAACAACCGCCCAATTTTTACCGCCGAGGAGACGTGGCGGTTCCTTGCTGATAATGGAAGGAGGATATACAGGTTCGGTTCGGGTAAAAACAGCGGTATTTTGAAGAAGATTTTGAAAAACGGTTCGACGGGGTCGAGTTCAACCGGTTTGGAGAAGGCGGTGAAGGACGTATTCACGGCGGATGGAAGGAGTTTGACGTTGAAAGATACTCTAAAACCGGTTTTGATTCCGTGTTATGATCTTTCTAGCACTGCGCCGTTTTTGTTTTCCAGGGCGGATGCCTTGGAGACAGATAGTTTCGATTTTCCATTATGGGAAGTTTGTCGGGCCACATCGGCTGAACCGGGATTATTCGAACCGGTTTTGATGCGGTCTATCGACGGTCAAACCACCTGTGTGGCGGTTGATGGTGGGTTGGCTATGAGCAACCCAACGGCTGCAGCAATTACGCACGTGTTGCATAACAAACAGGAGTTTCCTTTTGTTAGAGGGGTTGAAGATTTGTTGGTGCTGTCATTGGGGACCGGTCAGCTACTTGAGATTAGCTATGAATATGAACAAGTCAAGAATTGGAGGGTCAAGGATTGGGCCAAACCAATGGCTCGAATATCCGGTGATGGTTCGGCCGATTCGGTGGACCAAGCCGTAGCCATGGCGTTTGGACAATGCAGAAGCAGTAATTATGTAAGAATTCAGGTATATTTCGAGGACACAAAACATGTTTGATATTTCTTTTTTATATGCAAGTTTAGTATATAAGATTCTGATGATAGACTAGACAGTTGAAACATTTGTGATTGTCTTTAGCAAATTCTGTTTTTGAGATGATTTTGATGGGGTTTTTGTCATTGCCAATGCACAAGGGACAATGGAAGCCAAGCTGGTAGGAGTTAAGGGTCTTGTCTTTTGCACATTGGAATTCTTGAATAAGTGGTTCAAATGTTGGTAGCGTTTGTTTCTGACCTCGGAAATGGGGTCATTAATCCTTGTGTTTTTCCATATTGTCCTTTTTCTTTTCCCTGTTTTAGTAAGTTATGGTTGAGGACATGAAGCACTAGTATTGAAATCTATGCTTAGTTTTGAGCAATGGGTAAAATTGGAGACCTCGGCCTCAGGCAGGCATGGTGGTGACGGGTGGCACGTGATGGTTTTGGGGCAGCAGCTCCTTTAGCAAACTCCTAGATTAAGGGTTTTTGGTTGGCTCAACCCAAGACCATTGCTTGCTTCAACTCGCTTTCAAGACTTGTTTTTTGGTCTAAAATGTCAGTTATTCTTTGAATTGAGACCCTAAAGCTGGTGAATTGTGTAAGAGAAAAACGCTTTCAAAATTTTGCTTTACAAATAGAAATTCTTTTGGTCAAAGAGAATTCTTTTGCATAATTCAATTCATGAGAAAAGCTTTGTTTTTTTGGGATTTGGTTGATTTCATATGGCCTGGGAATGTTTTTAAGACTTTTAAAACTTTCATTTGATGCTGTGGGGGATATCTTGCCTTGTTTATTTTTTAGAGCAAAGCTTTGGTTAAGAGTGTGGGACATCATTGAGTGAATCAGAAAATGCCATTCATGATTCATGTCCCTGAATTAGGTAAAGAGGGAAAACATGCCTTCTATAATTAGCTTAGCTTTTATTATTAGGATGATTATGGTAATACTTTTCTGTGTTATTTAAATATGCCAGGACCTGGTCTCTAATATTTCCATTCTGCATCTACACTACACTCCAATGGAAAGAAAAAGAAAAAAAGAAAAAGGACTGGGGAGGAAGGTTCTTGTAGTTTGGATTGTGGTCTGTTCAACGGACTAATAAGGCTCCATTTGGGAGATTAGTGGGCTCCTTTCATCGTATTGGAAGATTCGTTTTATGATTGGACCTTTCAAAGAACATTTTCACCAAGCTCCTAAATGGAGCATAAGAAATTTAGTGGTTTTTTTTTTTTTTTTTTCTTTTGCCCGCTTCTGTATCCATTTACTAGCTTTACATGATAGTTTTCAGTTGACTAGTGAAAGTGGGAAAAACAATCAGGTTAGGTGCCATTTTAATGAACCCACTAAAAGGGGTTTGGCCAAGTATATAATGAAATGAAGCAAAAATGGACTCCACATAATAATTTGCATAATAATTTGGTTCCTTGATTTTCTTTTGCCTGTCCTTCTGGTCAGTTTCATTGACAATTTAATTTGCTCTATTGCAACCTTAATTGTTTGTTTGGAAAGCTAAAAAAACTGCATGGTCCATGATTTCTGGGACCTTTTGATTAATTTAATATGTTTGGTGAATGTTCAATATCTGTTTTTCTTTTTATGATATTGAAAATCATGAAATCGCTACTATTTCTTTCGATCATTATTTTCTTTTTTTCCAATCAATTTTGGTGTGACAGGCAAATGGGACCAGTTTAGGTCGGTGTGGCGCTAATGTAGATACAGACCCCAGCCCCAGCAATGTAAAGATGCTGATAGGAATAGCTGAGGAAATGCTGAAGCAGAAAAACGTTGAATCAGTCCTGTTTGGAGGTAAAAAGATTGCAGAACAAAGTAATTTTGAGAAGTTAGATTGGTTTGCTGGAGAACTTGTGCTGGAACATCAGAGGAGGAGTTGTAGAATTGCTCCCACTGTTGCTTTCAAGCAAGCAACCCCAAAAACCAACTAGAATTCTCAACAAAATTTGTACCGATTCCAAAGGCCAAAAAAAAAAAGAGGTATGCCTTTCCTTTCCATGCTACTACAAGTATTTTAATTTTTCAATTTTCATGTAATTATTTAATGTTTGTGGACCATGCATTATTGAAAATTTTCCGAGCATACTTTTCCAAGTATGGTTGTTTCTAGTAAATGCATACTTTTCCAAGTATTAATCCCTAGAAAATTTTCAAATGTGATGTGCTTGTAGGCTTGAATTGTCATTTCCTTTGTATGATTCAAAGCACTTGACAACTGGTTATTGTTTGTTGCTATTCTTCTAACATGAAATTTGAATGAAAAATGAAATCCAAAAATAAATAAAATAAAAAGGGGAAGAGAAAAGCACAAGAGGAAACTGTGATGTGGCCCGTGTGGGGAAGACAGCTCTCAATGTTGTCTATCTACCGACACTAAAACTTGAAAGAGTTAGAGGTTAATATAGTCATTTTAGAGGGACAAGTTAGTCATTTTAAAAGGACTCGTACTCTCAATGTTGTCTGTCTACCTCTCATTCCATATTAGAATATCAAAATCATCTGTCCATCGTCCGGAAAAAGGTCGCTCTTTGTAAATTGTGATCATCTTATGTTTGAAAAGCTAAATTCTTTCGCCCTCTTACCCTTTTTTAGTTCATTTTCATTGAACCAATTAATGCATGATTTCTTATTATAAATATAAAATTCGAAGTCCGTTCCTCAAAAAAAGAAAAATCAAGCATAAATCTTTAAAACAAAAACAGAACATTTATGTAATTTACATTTAAATTTCGTTTTCTTTTTAATTCTTCCATTGCTTTGCTTCCCATATTTGATTTCGTGCATATGTGGAATTGTTTGATTTCAACTTGTCCATACTTTCTTGTTGTTGATGTTGTAGTTTAGTGAAGCAATTGTTCTTGTTCTTGCTTTGCTTAAGTTAGAGTTGTTCTTTGGGACAGAAAGCATTTATTGAAATTTGACTTTTTCTTTTTAACTTAATAGTTAAGAGATCGGTTGAAAGTATGTAAGTGTGAATTTGATTTTGTCATCCCCTTCCCTGCAAGGGCACTAACCCTCCTTTGTAACAAAAAATAAAATAAATTGAGAGCTTAAGCATATAAAAAGATCATGTGGATTATGTGTTTTTTTTTTTTTAATTTATTTCAATCGTACCATCATTCTTTTAAAAGATTGTAATAATATCTAACAACTGTTGTGGTGGGAGTTTAACTTGTCAATGCTTTAAACAAATCTCTTTATTGTTAAACACTAGAGCCTTTGAAACTAATATACAAGATAATGTTAAAACTGGTCTGAACTGTCAAGCAACTTAGATAATGACAAAAAAAAAAAAAAAGGAGAAACCAACCTCACACCCTCCCAAAAAAACACAAATTTCAAAAGCTTTTTCATTTTGTTGCCTAGTACTTTTGAGTTTTGTGCTTGGTTTTTGCTTTTTGCACATTTTCTAACAGTAAATTTTGTTTCTTGAAATGCAGGATAAAAAATTGATATCTGAAAAAAAAAAAGAAAAAAGAAAGTAACATAGCAGCTTTTACTTTTTGTAAGTGAAGATGAGCAAGGAAAAGAGAGTTTAAAAAAAAAAAAGACATTAACTAATGTAAAAAGGGTTTGCAAGATCTTAGTGGGATACTTTGCCTACTAGAGGACAGGCATGGTGTTGTCAACTCCAACTTTCTGCAGTGGCAAGGAACCAAAAGAACAAAAGTAACAACAGTTTCTTTGGCTTTTGGAGGTCAAAGGTGTGAATCTTTTGATTTTTCAAAACAAAAATGAAAAACTAGGAGGTGGGAAAATTGTTTCCATATTTCCTCCTATGTTCCATACCTTTCCTTTCCTTTCTCACCCTTTCTTTTCTCCCAAAATCAATTCTTATATATTCTCTAAAAAAAATTTGAGGTGGGTGGTGGACTATCTTGTCTTGTGGTGAAAACCCAGATTTAAACCAAAGTTCTTTACCTGATCTTTGTTTTATTTTTTCCCTTTTTTTTTTCTCATTTTAATTTTATTGCATAGAAATTGTAGTGGTGAAGGGATATCAGAGGATTGATGGATGGGCCATGGTTGAGGCTAGGGAATGAACCCCTTTCTACATGTTAACAACTTTGTTAAAGTATAGGACTCCTCTCTTTTTATTTCTTTTCCTTATAAAAATTGTTCATTATCTTATGATTGTTTGAAGCAATTACAAATTGCAAACTCCCTTTTTTGTAATTTTTTTACTTAATTTCAATGTTAAAGAGCGGTGGGTACTAGTTGATGCTTGTTTCTTTTCTTCAGCTTTCCTTGTACTTGAATTATATTATCAAATGGTTTATTTTGGTACTTGAAATCCTAAAAATTATGGTTGTAAAAGGATGATGGTGCATAGACAATTGAGGTAAATTAATTTTATAAAATATTAATTCATACAATTATTTTTAAAATATAATATTCAATGAGTAAAATTTTCTTTCTTTCATGAATTTGGATAACTATTCATTCAAAAATTAACATTATTATTAGATATGATGATTATAAGAATTTAATGCAGAAACATGTTATACATAAATTGCAGCATTTGATTAAATTATTGATGTATGATTATTTTTGTTTAATTCTTATATTTTTAAAATAAAAAAAAACCATAAATTTATCTTTCAAAAAGGGTATCTTGGAATCTTTTTTTTTTTTTTTTGACTTCAATAAGAAAAAAGAAGAGCATGTGTGACCATCCTTCAAAATTGACTTGTAACAGCTTTTAAGAAAGGTTTTGAAAGGAAAGTAAAGGGGAAGAAAATGAAAATATTTAATTGTTGCCTATACTATGAAAAGAAAAAGCCATTTCTGGTGGCTTTTTCTTTAGAATGGCCAGCATTGCAATTACTTGGTCGCAAAATTAGAACCCCCCGACCCTCTACATCTTGAAAAAGCAACATTTTTGTATCTATATTCCACAAATAAACCTAGAGGACATAAACCAAACATCGTTCCAAATGTGTTATCTTTCTTTTTCATTTCTTTTTTTTTCTAATTTTTTTGGCTAAGTAACATGACAAGATAACCTTAATTTCATTTTTTTTTATTTCACTCATTCTAATATTGATATTCAAGTTTGAATTGAAAATATATTTTAAAGTTCTATTGAGATGTCTTAGTAGAAAATTTTGTCTTTCTTTTTCATAATGGGATCTTGAAATTCAACTATGAAAATTAAAGAACACAGGTAAGTTTATAAAAGATATATATAAAGTTGTCAAAGTTAAATTGAGCTAAAAAAATTCATTCAATTCATCCAAATTTGAATTTAATTCAATTTGATTTATTAAAAAAATTTATAATCTAAATTTGTCTAATTTAAATTTAAAGTAATCTAAATCTAATTTAATCCAAATTTGAAATAATTTATATAATTATATTGAACTTAATTTGATTTTAAAAATTAATAATTTGAATTGTATGATCTAAACTCGACTTAAATTCAAATGATTGAAGTATCAAACTCAAATTAACTCAATCCAAGATACTAAAAATTTTTTAATCCAAAATAATCCGATGCATTATAACATCTACATGTATTTGTTATTAAATCAAATGGTGGATTAAATATTGGGTGTTGACCTTTTCCTAGATCTATGGCTAAAGAAAAACACTATGTGAAATAGCAATCTCAATTATGAAAATAGCACTCAGATCATGTCTAATCAAGGCATGAATATCCCTTCACCAACCATATTAAAAGCACACACCCTCAAGGCTTTAATCAGACAAATTACTCCGCACAAACAGGCTTTTTATAAAAATTGATTGGAGACCAACCGAAATTTTAATCATCTTCATTTCAGCAAAATATTCTAACAAAAATAATGGCATACACAGGGTGGGAAAAAGGGGGGAAATCTAATAAAGTTAGTTTGGTTAGTCAATATCCAACTTTTTGCAAATTGGGTAAATCATACATGAACCCTAGATTCCAAGAAATCCTACTTTTTCTAACGTTTTTTACCAAAATTCACCTTTGCTTTAACCCTTTCAGATAACCCTTTTTGACAAAATTGCATGGTTGTAAACATGTTTAGTTATGTCTATTTTTGGACCTTGATAATTACTTTTCTAATTCCACCACCTTTTGATTACGTAAAGGATTGATGGTTGGAATGCATTTGATCAAAAGTTGAAGAGACACAAATTTCTCATTTTTTTTATTATTAAATTTTGCTTACATCAAAATATCAAAAGGAGCTTAGGATTCAAATAACCCTGTAATCACTTCTTCTATTTTCAATCCCTTATGTAAGAAGGAAAAAAAACTAAAGGATATAATTATTTTAATAATCATGTGGAGAAATCAATTTTATATATCTTGTAGATATTTAATTTGGTTCAGACTCGGATCAATTGAGTTTGATTTAAATGTGTAAGCTAATTTTGTATTTTTATTTTGTATCTTATTTATTTATTGCTATTATTATTATTTATTAATATATATATTTTTATCTATTAATATATATTATTATTTATTTATTAACGTATATAAATTTTTATTATTAACTAATATCTATTATTTATCTATTAGTATATATATTTATTTATTATTTATCTATTATTATTATTATTATTATTATTATTATTATTATTTTGGCTGGGATTAAAGAATCTTGATCAAAAAGTGGAAATTTTATTGTGAATTTGGGATTCAAATAGAGTCCAGATTGGATTCAAGGATTAAATCTCAATCCAAGAAGGAATTGAGATTGATCAGAAACTCTTATGATTAATCTCTATAAATAGATTCACAGAACACACATGAAAAAGACACACAGAGAGAAAACAGAAGCTAAAAAGGTTATGGTGCGTTAGATACAGCTTTAGGAATTTGTGAGAAATTTTTTTAGAATTTTTGAAGTTTTTTTTTTTTTGAAAAATTTCTAGAATCCGATGAAATTTTTCGACGAATCTTGAATTTTTCGACAAGTTTTTCGATCAACTTTGAAGTTTTCAACGTTATTTTCCAAAATCCGGTGAAAATTCAACTGGATTTTGGTTGTGTTTTTCGAGTAAAAAGAATGAGGAGAAAGCTGAGGGGAAGAGAGAGAAGGGGGAAAGCGCATCTGAAGAAAAAACCCGTTTTTTGCCTTTTATACCTGTGCAAAATAACGTCGTTTTAGTGTTAGTACGTTATCAGGATCCACGTGTTTTTGTTTGGACTGACCCGACCCGATTGCGACTTAATTCATTAACTCGCGTGCTAGCCGATCCCTGGAGCCGAGTCGACCCAAGCTGACTCCCCGAGTCGCGTCTTCGAGTTGCCTTTTTTGTCTTGAACAGAGCCGTTTCTCAGTCGAGCCGAGCTGTTCCAAAGGTTTTTTTTTCTTATTTATTATTATTATTATTTCTTTTATTATTATTATTATTTATTGATTAGATTAGAATTATTTAGTATTTCTTATTTTATTTTATTATTTTTTTAAATGATTTTTTTAAATAAAATTCCAAAAAAAAATATTTTTGAGAAAAAGTTGAAAGTATCAATTTTCCTTGAAAATAATTTTCTAAAAAAAGTTTTTTTTTGAGAAAAATTGAAAGTATCAATTTTTTTTATACAAAAGCAATGAGTTTTTGAAGAGAAAATGATTTATATCTAAAACTGAATCATTATTCTTTTTTTTTTCATTTTATTTCTTTTTCTTTTTGAATTTTTTTAATGTTAAATAATCTGACGATAGAGCCTTTTCAAGTAAAATAGTAGTTTCCTTGCATACTCTTGAGGTGAAGAAATTTTTTCAATTTTTTGCTAAAAGTATTAGAGTCAATTAAGAATAATTTTTAATAATTAATTACTTGGTAAATTTTTAAGCTTATTGGATAACACAAAATTAAGCTAGTACCATCTTTCGATAGACGTTGTGAGGGTGCTATAACTTTCTCACACGTAATCGTACTTTCGAACCCTGTTCTGATTAGTAGACCTAAACCTATTCTTTTAGAGACCCTTAGGCTTAGGTGTTCCTTAAAAGGATAGATTTCTTAGGTGGCCAATCGTACCTAAATAAAAAAGATTGGTGACGACTCCTTAAAGTCAATGTCTAGCGATAGATCCCCTGATCTAGACGTTATGACAGTTTGGCGACTCTATTGGGGACGTTTGAGAGTTAGGCCAGCAAAAAATTTGTGTTATCCAAAAGACCTAATAAAATTGAACCTTTTGTATAGATTTTTTATTCATTCATGTTTATTTACTTTATTAATTATGTCATTTATATGCATATGCATCACATGAGCTCTATACCTAAGCTTCGTCCCTCTAAGAGGAGTAAAGTACCTATTGCTTTCGTGAGGTTTAATGCCTCTCAATAGCTAGCGAAATAGTCTCACTCAAATTGAACATTTTCGTTTGTAGCCTGTAATGGGTGAGGATTAGGGTGCCTTACTAGTCTGTGATGGACAATGATGTAAGGAACAATTTGGAAACCTTTAGACTTTAACCTCAAACCACATATAGTGAACCTTAAGAGTGCCTAACCTATAGATAGAGCCATCATCCTTTCCTTTTAGAATTGACCAAAAGCATATGGTTCATTCCTCTTATTCTGTGTGATGTTTAATTT